ATATATACCCCGGGTAGACCATCCATCAATACTCATCATTGTATATTTATTGTATGAACTTATATTTTATGGTATTAGGTTATTGTACTTTTATTTTTCGAAAACGTAGAATCCTAAAATTTAAAGTTATTTTTATTTTAATATTTAATTAGATAATGAGTAAAAATATATGCACCGACTGTTATTTCCCGTGCGTATGCACGGTACTATACTAGACGGCACTGGCGTATAATAGTCGCAGCGGTTTGAAATATTTTCAAGTGCTCACAAGATAGAAATATCATAATTTTTTTTGTATTATTTAACAAATCTTCATTAATTATATTGAACATAAATTTGTTTATTTGAATTAATGGATGATAAAGTTAATAGAAGCATTATGAATACTTCCTTGAACAATTATCTTCTTAACGATGAATCAACCAAGAAGAATATGACGATTAAAAGAGAATAATAATTAGAAAGATTGGTCCCATACTCCATAATAATAGCAAGTAGATAGCCCACATTTACAACATTTTTAGTGAGCGTGCACATGCATTTACGTTGGGAAAGCCTGGTCCCATACCCCATACCCCATACCTCATTGCAACATTTACACATTAGCCACCCAGATTTACAGTTCACTGCATGCACACACCATTCATGTAGTTCACAGCATGCATGCATCAGATCGACATGTTTCTTGGAAAGCCAAAAAAGCGATGTGCAGTTGGTGATGTGTTGTCGTTGGTGCCGGTTGCGGTCGATACAGGCATGAAGCGCGCGGCGTAGCGGATCCATCGTGGTACGTAGCGTATTTCGACGTGATTCACATTCACACCGCAATAGCAGCCCGCAGCAGTAACAGAGCCTACCGTGACTGCTATATAGCGGCCGCAATGGCGGTAGCAGACCGCTATTTAAATCCCTGCTAAATATAAAAAAAATCCCTGCTAAATATGTTTGACTTAAATATATTTCTAATCTTATACACGAGTTATAAATAGTTTTCCAAAATTAATTAATGATCTAGGGTTCTGGTTTTTGTCCGGCAATCCGGCATGTTCTTTGGCCGAGAGTTATGTCCACTTCAGGTGAGCGTGTGCTTTGTTCTTCCCCTAGCAATGTCTAGAGGATGTCTCTTCCTCGTCGGTCTAACCGATCGAGTGGTTCATTATTCATGGTTGGCAAGACAGGTTCAACCTAATTCTTCTGAAGCTTCAATTATTTTCCATCCTCCTGAACCACCGTCTCACTCAAAGAAAAAGATAGCGCTCAACTTAATCTCCTTTTCGGTGGCTAGTCAAACTGATGATCGAGACAATTTCTGCTCAATTGAGTTTCCTTTGTTGGTTGCTAGTCAAAACAATTCTCCCTTTCCGGTGCTTGGTGAAATTGGATCTTTTAGTTGTAATTTTTTATTTTCTCTTTGGAGTAGCAAGAAGAGCAGCAAGACTGTTAGACTAAACTGCATTAATTATTGTGGGATTATGCGATCTAGAAGGATTTATTGGATCTTTTCAGTTCTATGTTTCATCACATTGTAGTCTTAGGCTATTCATTATCTTGTATCTTTGTTATCTTTTAATAATAAATTAGTTATTTGATTTTCAAAAAAATAATAATTAATGAAATGACCAAATTTATCAATGAATGAAATTAATCATTTTAGACTAGCCCATATAATTACTTAAACTCCTATTTTTTTGGCAAACAAATTCAACCCATATTCCTTGACTGAGTGACCAAAAGTAGATTTGCTACAACTGTTAGAATATACTTAGTTAATAATTAATATTCAAATATTGGTCATGCAATTCGGGTTATATATTATTATTAGAATTCATATAGTCCTAGACCTTTAATTGGTTTAATGATAGGCTGAACTTGTGCTTGAGTTTTGTCTAGGACTAGGGTTCTCCAACCCTCTCCTCTGCCTATATATATATATAGAGAGATCAAATACAAATCATGCTTAATTTACAAAGTACAAATTTATCTTGGCCATCCGATAAGTTGATCTAAAGGATATAAATGTAAGGTGGCATTTTTGTAATAAAACCTAACTTTTATAGGGTGCAACTCATTGAACGTAAATGTGCAACTGCTATTTTATGACTATATAATATGCAACACTTTGAACCTCAATATGCAATGCACATAAGGTCAAGGTGCATCGTACAAACATTTGCACAATAAGCACAGTTTGTACTTGATCTTTCCCCTATATATATATATATATATATATATATATATATATATATATATATATATATATATATATATATATATATATATATATATATATATATATATATATATATATATATATATATATATATATATATATATATATATATATATATATATATATATATATATATACTTATTCCCTACGGAATGTACAACACAATATAATTGAAAAATCTCTACCTGTCAAGAATCTCATAAGGAACGAGGCTAGAGGGGATAAGAGAACTATTCTAGTTCATATAAAAAAGGAGTGCCACAGGGGGGGAGGTCATCCCGGGTTCAACTCCAAGTAATGACTTGGGATGGAACTCCACTCTCTTTCAATCAGACTGAGATCAAAGCTCAATTTACATCCTCATAAATATATGTATGCTTTGTTTTGGGGGGCCCTCAGGGATGCGGTGTCATCCTTTTTTATTTGAGTTCGTTCTTCTATCATGGATCTATGTATTCCTAATTACATGATGCTGATCTTGGAATTTAATCTTACAACAACATAACAACTCTTTACTAATTTCACAAACTTGAAAATTAAATAAGACATGACCACAAATAATAAAAAAATACAAAATATTAAAATACAATTCTTCCAACATCAAAAAATATCTATTTTTCACAAATTTGGATCATTTATATTTTTGGAAAATAAACCTCATATTCAAAATACAAACGTCTATAGGGTAATTTTCATATGAAGAACTTATAAACTGGAGATAAAATGAGAAAGATATAAAAGATTGAAACATGACGCTCAAAAGATGGTCGAAAACCCGAATTTCGAAGAGGAGTTTGAAGGTAAGGAAATCTGCCCGGCCTGGCCGCGAGCCAGACCTGGCCGCTTTGCGTCGTGTTCTGGCAAAATAACATGCATGGATCATGTCCGCCGAAGGCTTACATTGAAATCTGCCACCCTCTGTCTTGTTCTAGCTACCGGCCATGCAAAATCTCATCATGTTGTACGTAGTATAAATTAAATGAAAAATTCAAGATGAGCATGAAAGCTTCCGTGTGCAAGAAGCCTAGGGGTGGACTGAACCGGGCCGAATCGGTCCGTGAACCAGACCAGCCCGCTACTGGGCGGGCCCAGACCGGACCAGATGGCCGGTTCCGGGGTTTAGCCCGGGTTGGGCGGACCGGGCTCGGGTCCTGTTTTTCTTGAACCGGCCCAGGCGGTCCGGTCGGGCCCGGTTCATTTTTTTTCAAATTTTTTTCTTTGAGTTTTGCTTGGGGTACACACTTTTTGTGTACACACTTTTTACACATGTCTGTGTAAGGTTTTTGTCTGTACAGACAAAACATATTTTTGTGTGTACCTTTAGAATTTCTTTTTCTTTTCCTTGGATAGGGTTGGGTGTTTTGGGGAGGTTTGAGGGGTGGGGGTGAGGGGGGGTCGGGGGTTAATTAGAAAGCAAAAAAAAATATACATTGGACCGGCCCGGCCCGGTGTGGCCTGGACCCGGTATCAACACGGGCCGGTTCCGGACCCAACATCTAGATAAAAAAGCCCTGCTTGAACCGGCCCGGGTCCGGTCCATGCCTAAAGAAGCCTACTCCTACAGCCTATTCTTTCTCTGTCATACATTTGTTATGGTCTCTGGTTTTGAACATTGGTACTCAGACACACACACACACATATGAAAATTATTATTTTTCCAGGTCAATATATGCGGTTGATATATAAAGTAAGAGATTATGAATAATTTATGTTGACCAAGTGAATATGAATTGAGACCATCTTAACGGGACGAAGGGATTGTTAAGTAGAAGCAATGTTTTGCAAACATTGATTTTAGCTTTTTTATAGCAAAAAAATGCCTTTGAAAAGATGTCACAAACACAGCCTTAGGGAATTTGCAAAGGATTAAAATAAGTGTTTTTCAGCTTTTAACTTAAAAAAAAGTTAAAAGTGGTGTTTTCAAATGCATGTTTTTGCTTAAACTAAGCATTTAAAAGCTAAAAGCTATAAGTTGATTTAAGCGTGCTTTTACCTACTTCTAGGTTTTTTGTAATTAACTGGAACTCTAAGGATAGTTATAAGAGTTATCAGGGCCGGTCCTGAGGAAATGAAGGCCCTGTGCAACAAAAATAATTGGGCCTTCTTTTAAAAGTTTCAACACAAGTTAAAAAACCGTACCGAAACCGCACCGACTCAAACAGGACCCGAAAGTCAGGACTTGAACATAAATCGGTTTAATGAAGGTTTTTGAGTTATAAAATCGATTCAAACCGAACCGAACCGATTTTTATTAAGAGGTATTTTTAATTATTTATTTTGTAGAACAAATAGGTAATATAAAGCTTGTACGTCCTTATTTCAATTCAACAATTAGTTGATTCGGTCCAGTGGGTTGATGTTTAGAGATTCAACGTGCATGATTTTATTTTCACCTAGGTTCGAATCCCGCATGCCTCGCTTCTTATCTTTTTAGTTTCTTAAGCTTAAGATTCCCACACCGGTGAAAACAGAGGACTTAGTACTCCTTCGTTCCTATATATACGCTCCACCTCTAAGTAATACTACTCCCTCCGTCCCAAATTGTTTCGCAAAGTCAACATTTTTTTGTCAACCAATAAAAAAAGTCAATGCTTCCTATCGATAATTAATTCCATTTTTAATAATTAAAATTTATATATTCAGAAACTATATTAATATCTCTTCAAAGTTGTAAATTCCAAATTAGAATATTATTAAAAATTGACATCCTAATTAAGCAAATAAAATGAAACTGGTTGACCAAGAAAAGTTAAATTTGCAAATCAATTTGGGACGAAGGTAGTAGTATATTACTACAAAAAAAATTGGGCCCTTCCAATTTTTTGGGCCCTGTACGATTGGACACCCTACACACCCTCAGGGCCGGCCCTGAGAGTTATGCTAGAGGTATAAAAACTTTTACAAAAAATCTTACAAAAGGGTATGTGGCATCATCACAATATTTAACACATCACATCACATTTACAAACTTTTACATCAATGGTAATTAAAATAGTCACATCACTTGTTTGTAAGTTTTTTTGTAAGTGTGTTTGTACTTCTATCATTCAACACCTCCCCCCTTCTTCTTCTCGTCTATTGCATTTTGACATTTCAGCTATTAATCTTCAAGGGGTTTATTGCAGCTCCCAAGGCGGTGGTCTGCTCCATTCCAAAGACCAAGGCTTCTCCAAATTCATTAGTTAGGCGCTCTTCTCTCTCAGACTCTTAAAATATTATTAGAACTTTGTAGAGCAGATGAAATAGTCATTGGAATAATGAAATAACTTTGTCTTCTCTACATTTCAAGGTAAAATGAAATAGTCAATGGAATAATATAACAGTTGTTATAACTTTGTACACATTTTTGTTTACGTCTTTTGTACACTCAATGGAACAGTATAACTTTTGTACATCGAAAAATGTGTACACAAAGCATTTCCAATGATATAATAAGACTATCATAATGTTTGAATTTTCGAATGTACCTGAAGATAATGAATGATGCAAGGCCACACAATATAATGGATAAAAGAATCAACATTTAATACAGTGTTGAGTAGTAAGAAACTAAAATATCTTATTTTATCAAAATGAAAGTGAAAATATGGAAAAGGATGAATCTTAATTCATCCCAAAGCTCAAATTTAATTCAATTCAGCCGAAGCACTGAGTACCGGGAATGATGGAAGCTGCTGGATCATAGAATTGTAACCCGAATACAGCTATTGCCGCTAACAAACTCAAATAAGACAACCCTTCAACCGCTCCTAACAACCCAAACGGCCCACTGGGCAAACCCGACCCGGTTTTTATCTTGGTATACAATGACCAGCCCACAATCGCCGCCGCCGCCAAATAACTCACGCCTTCAAGTGCGCCAAGGGAGCCACCTGGTCCCGGCGGAAGGCCGCAGCCGGTAGAGTTTAGCGTGTAAAGCGACCACCCAATCACCGGCGCGGAGATTAATCCGCCGACGATGGCCACTTTCTCCGCTATTCCGCATTGGCTTTCACCGTTCTGTTTCGCTGCCATTGATCTGGTTACCTTGAGTGTGGGTGCGGGTCGGACAACTCTTTGGGTAAGGCTGAAGTTGGGTGATGGAGGAAGCCATTTTGAGGATGAAGGGGAGATTAGCAGCAGCATTTTGAGACTTGTAGTAATCGAGAAATGAGGAGTGGGGTTAATTGAAGTGGAGAATAATAGAGCCAATCACAATTTGTTGATGTTCTTTGTGCTTGCATAGTTTCAACCTTGCACAATACTACCTCCGTCCTGAAAAGGCTGTCAAATTTACTTTTTTGGATGTCCCAAAAAGATCTGACATTTTCATTTAAAGTAAAAAATATGTGGTTAAAATTAATTCTCTCTCTCCACCGTACAAATTTCAATCACACAGTTTTACTTTATTAATCCACGTGAAAGTCAACTTTGGCCAACTTTTTCGGGACGGAGGAAGTATTATATTAAGACGACAACAACCACAAGTATCGATCAATGATATCGATGTCAAACTGAGAAGACGGACAAGAAAAAAAGAAAAAAAAGTAAGATAAAACGAATAAAATAAAGATAAATAAATATCAGATAACAATAATACCAGAATATAAGAAAGATAAAAGATAAAAAAAGAGCATAAAAAGCTAGAATATAAAAATAACATAAGAATATACAAAGATAAAGAAGATAAACGATAAAAGAAAAAAGAGATTAAAGGTAGACTAAAAAATCAATAATCAATGTATAGACTATGGTGTTAAACTTAGAATGTTATTGTGTGTTCTTCCGTGTTCGTAGATTGAATACTCAATCACAGACTATTCAGTCAACAAAATTGATCAAATAATTCATGCAAAACTAAAAATAGCACAAATAAAAAATGACACATGATTTGTCGACGCAGTTCGGAAGAAAACTTCCTACATCTGCGGAGTTTCAACAGTGGAAATCCGGTCCTAATATTCCACTAGCTCAGATAATTCAGTCTACAATCAAGATGATTGCAAAGCAATCAAGATACACTACAAGCAATCGGTCAGAAGCATCACACAAGAAACAAATAAAAGAAAAGGTTCAGAGTTAACCGAGTGAAACCCAAAGGTTTCAAAGATAGCTGCTAAGCTCCCAATTTCCAGAACTCGCATCAAGCTTTTCTCCAATTCATAAGATTTCTAGCATTTTCCTCTTTCTTTCAGCGTTCAAGTTAAGCTCAGGCTCTCGCGCAAAAAACCAGCAGTAGGGGTCGATTCGGGCCGGGCCGGGTCCGGGTTGGGCCTAGGCCCGGGCGGGCCGGTGGTTCTGAATAGGTGGACCCAAGACCGACCTGGGTTGCCACCGGGTCCGGGGCCGGGCCGGGCCTCGGGCTTGGTTATTTTTTATTTTTTGCTTACCTACCTATCCCTGACCCCCCCCCCCTCACCCCCCTCACCCCCCTCAAACCCCCCAAACCCCTCCTAAACATCAAGCCCAACCCGGGTGGAGCCCAAACAAATGAAAAAAACAAAAAAAAAACAATTTGGCCCGAACCGGCCCGGCCGGGCCGGGTCTTGTTTTGGGTGACCCGAGCCCGGATCGGAAACCCCTCGGGTCAGGCCTACCCGGACCGGTCACTGACCGGGCAACCCGGCCCGAGTCCACCACTAACCAGCAGCGGAACAACACTTTCTCACGCTAGAACTCAAGGTTCTCAGCCTCTCTCTCTATCTAGAGTTTCTACGAACAGCTCAAAACATGAAGGCTCGGAGACAGAAGCCACTTATATACTTAGGGTCTTCCAAGTATAAAGTGTAGCGGTGCTCCAATTACACAAGACCCAGTCTAAAAATAACCCGAGACCAATAAAGGAAGAAGAACACAAAAGCTACTAACTACTAAGTGGACTATTAAAAAATCTAAGCCCAACTCATAACATAATACTAATCTGATTGCTTTGTCATCCTATCTAAAATTATAAACTAGGAAATAATTAGAAAATTAGGATTACTAATCTCAACATTCCGTTTAGTTCACGTCTTTGACTTTAATCAATTTTAGTACATGACTATTGTTTTTCACCCACGCATTGTCCTTTTTCGATGGTTAAAATTATCGCAGATGCATCGAAAATGGTCAAAAAATCAATAGTTAAAAATAAAAAAGAACAAAGAGAAAGATGTTGGTAAATGTGTAATTGACATAAAATTTGTAAGACCAAAAGTGAAATTAATTCTTAAACTTACAAAGGAGTAATATGAGGCTCTTTAAACCAATGAATGTGGAATTGACGTATAATCCATTTGTCCCTATATAAAAGCTCCTTACACACAATTTAAGAAAGTGATATTTTTTGACACCGTTTGACACTGTTTGACACTATTTTGCATTGTTTTAAGGACCCGGACCCGTTTACAATTTCTTATTTGTATACACATACACTCAAACATAAAGTGATTAGTTATAACACTTTAAATAAAATAGAAACTAATATACATATATACATAATAATACATGTTGGGATATTGACCTAGAGGCCCAATACCCAGATCGGGAAGGCCCAAGATATCCGGCCCAAGTAACAGGCACATCACTCTATGATGAAAAGATCCAGTAAGGAGACATACCGAACGGGGTCCGGCCCAAATAAAGGTTGGCCCAATAAGAAGACATACCGAACGAGGTTCGGGCTATATATTATACTTGGGCCAATTTGACAGCATCTTCAGTACGGACCAACATCTCGTTCGAGCAATGGCCAACCAGCAAGTGGCCAGGTGCAGTTAATGCCAGACTATGACATCAGCAAGTGGAAGCATGGATGACCAAGTCGGTGGAACAACGGCCAATCAGCAAGAGGCAGCTCATGCTCTCCATTAGTATAAATAGAAGGTTTCAAATCATTGTAAGGGTTAGCATTTCAATACTCAAGCTCTAGAATAGCATCATTTGCCCTTACTTCTTGTATTAAAGCATAGTTTCCGACTTACCGATCGGGAAATTCCTTGTAATCAGATTGGTTAATTAATACAAGTGAGCTTTCGAGTTTTAGTTAGTTTAGATCTTATATTTTCTTTTACGCTTTGAGTCTGGGCCATTCCTGATATATCCAAAGTTCGTGTTGGGCTTTCGGATCTACGGGACTTACCCTCAACAATACATAAAGTTATTAGTTGTGAATTTGTGATTATTCAATAAAAATATACACATTAATACATAAATACTACCGAGTATATAAGTGATACTTGATGGAGTATATGGCCCAGGAACCCCCGGTCCACAGACTTCTACTACACCAATAAAGGCCCAACAGGCCCAGGAAGCACAGCAGGCCCAAATCACAGCGCCCAGAGTACCAAACGGCCCACAGTGCGCATCAGGGGTGCCTTCGGCCCCCTGGCCGAAGGCTCCAATTCTCACAGAAAGGTCAAAACAGGAAAACAAAGTTACTGGGAGAAAACGGCGAAAATCAGTAGCCCTCGGCACCTGGAGCCCTCGGCACTAAGGAGGTCCCCGGTACTCAGAGCTCTCGGCTAATCACCTATAGCCGAGGGCACCTTTTCCGACATAATATCCGCTCCACATGCGTATAGATCACCGTACCAAGTACGACGTCACATCCAACAGCCGCATTAAATGCGGCCACATGCGGTTGCCAGTTGAGGTGACCCCTCGGCCAATGGATGCTTGACACGTGTCCCTGTCCGGTATTTATTGCTACTATAAATAGCACCCATTTTCCCCATTTGTAACTAAGAAGCAAACACGCTGACTTCACTTTCTAATATACTCTCTCTACTTACTTGATCTGACTTCTCTCTAGTTATTCCCCGTAATAACCCCTCGGATAAGTTACCCCCCCGGTACACTATCCATCATTTGGTGCTCTCGTTGAGAGGTCGAACAATCAAGTAAGAAACCCTCCCCCTCGACCAAACACAAAACACCCAGCTAAAACGGTGAGAACAACTCGTGCCAACTCCAAGAATGTAGAGGGCAGGAACCTGGCCCTCGGCGAGGTCGACATCCCCGAAGCCTCTAACAGGGCTCCCGGGGGCGGCGTCATCGCCGGGTTGGACCAGACGGCTGTCGACCTACGCCAGCAGATTCAACAAAATTCCCCCGATGCCCGCCTCGGCATCGAGACCAAGAAGAAGGACCGAAGCGAGAATCAAATTAGCCCTCCGATCATCACAATCGACGTGCAATCGGTGCTCTCTGCCTTCATCCAGACGCTCACCCAGAACCCGGGTGCCTTCGGCACTTTGGTTCCCCTCCAACCTCAGGTCGGGGAGAATATTATGCCTCCCCCTCATCCACAACCCCTCGGTAACCCGGTCCTCTGGATGGGGAACTCTGAGGGGGTCGTGGCCCAAGATACGGCCTCCCTGGAAGTCCAGTCCCGGGACCGCCACAACGTGAACAAAGAACAGCTTCAGACCTCCGCCCTCGAGAGACTCGGAGGGGCGCAAGACCGCCGAGGGGTCCAAGACCGCCTCGGGGGGAAGGCATTCCAGAGGCCTCAGGAAAGTGGCGGATCCGTCTCCAGGGCCAATGAAAGGCGTCCCCCTCAGGACAAAGGCAAGGCACCTCTCCATGCCAACGACGCCCGCCACCAAATCAACCAGGCCCACTCAGCCTGGGTCCATTCGCAGGGGGCGGAGGCCCTCCCGAAGGACCCCCGGGACGAAATCATTGCGGCCCTCCAGCATCGGCTTGACGAGATGGAGGCCACCAAAGCACACGCCACCACTTCTGCCCCTCATGGAGACCTCAAGTACGAGGCGATGTTGGCCAAGATGGAGGAAATGCAGAAGAAGATAGCCGAGGGCTCCGGGGAACCCACCATACAGCTTCGGACCCGGATGCCATTTACACCAAGAGTATTGGCGGCCCGGATCCCGGAAAAATACCGAGGGCAGCTCATCAAGCCCTACAACGGAAAGACTGACCCCCAAGAGCACTACAGCAGGTATCAAAATAGCATGATGATGGTGGGGGCATCAGATGAATATTTGTGCCGCTGGTTCCTCTCCACCTTAGAGGGGCCGGCTTACGAATGGTTCAATCGATTGCTCGAGGGCTGCATTGACTCGTGGCAAGAACTCGCCCAGCGATTTTTGACGCAGTTTTCGAGAAGGCGCCGCACGAGAAAACACTTCTCCCACTTGCTGACAGTAAGGCAGAGGAAGGAGGAGACCCTTCGGGACTTCCTGGAGCGCTGGAGAACGGAGGCTGATAAAGTTGATGGCGCTGACGACG